GGGGCGGACGGGCCCGGCCCGCGGACCCCCGCCCCCGGCGGCGGCCGCCCCGACGGGATCCTTAAAGGGGAAACGCACCCGCGGCCCCACCGGGGCAGGACCACCTCCCCACGGCTGGCATCCTCCCCCCCGGGCTGGACCACACGAGGGGCCGGACCCCCTTCCCCATGGCCGGCAGCCTCCCCACCGGGGTGGCCCCACCGAGGAGTGGCCCCACTGAGGGGGACCCCCATCCCAACAGCTGGTATCCCCCCACTGGTGTGGTCCCACCGGGGCTGGACCCCACCCAACAGCCAGCATCCTCCCCCTATGCAGTAGCCAGAGCAGTCCCCATGCCAGCAGCCTCTGTGTCCCCCCTCCCCGTGCCCGGTCCCCGCTCACCTGATGTAGCCCACCTGGGGCCTGTGCGCCAGCTGCCAGCGGTACGACGTCTTGTCCCGCCAGCCCACATTGCGTGGGTCCTTCCAGAGCAGGCGGACGTGGTCAGGCGTGTGGCCCGTGTGCCACAGCGCGTTGCGCAGGTGCTCCCCTGGGCCTGTCGAGGACTTCACTGCCTGCGGGTGCAGAGGTTGTCAGGGGGGACCTGGCCAGGGGTGGGGGTGGGGGGGGTGTGACCCAGCCCACAGGGTGGCTAATACCCACCTTGAGCTGCAGCCCTGGCTCGGCCACGGCACGGAAAGGGGTGGCCTGCCAGTACGTCTGCTCCGTTTGCTTCCACATCACCACGTAGAAGCTGGCGCTGTCCTGGTAGCTGAAGATGAAGCCAGCATAGTCATCGTCGGTGACGGTGTTGACGTGGAAGGTGCCCTCGAAGTCCACCCCGTTGAAGGCCGTGTAGCCTACAGGCAGGCAAATGCAGCAAGGAGCCCTCTCCTGCCGCACAGGACCCTGCACCCTGCCTCCCTTCAGCCCACCCTTCATCCCTGTGTGGGGCAAAGAACCGGCCCTCAACCCCCCAGCGCAGGCGGACAGAAGTAGGGGTGCTGCCCCACGGCGCCTGCAGGTGGGAGAGCATCTCTTACCAACAGCCAAGCCTGGGTCACTGTTCATGGTCTGCACGATCTCCATGCCCTGTGGGGGACAGCTGGGTGAGGGACACCCCTAGCATCTCCAGGGACCTGCCAGCCCTCTTTTGCTCCCACCACAGCAGCGCAGACCCCAGAAACACTGGGGGTAGCACCCACACCTGGTTGAGGACAACCCAATTGGGATCAATCTGGGCGTCCCCCTCGGGGTCGAGGATGACAGTCTGGTAGGCGCGGAAGTCAGTCAGTGTCACCTCGGCGCTCTCGGGGCACACATCCAGCTGGTCCACCACCGTGTCATTGTCGAAGTCCTCTTCACACACGTCACCCACACCGTTCCCTGGGGACACGTACCCCAGTCAGGGCCGGGGCAAGCCCACGCAGCTCTGCCTCCTCCCGCCTGCCCCGTGCTCACCGTCTGAGTCCTTCTGGTTGGGGTTAGGGATGAGGCGGCAGTTGTCTGGACCAGGTGCTGTGTAGTCAGGGATGCCATCATTGTCATCGTCATTGTCACAGTCATCTCCCAGCCCGTCGTTGTCTGAGTCCAGCTGGGAGCTGTTGGGGATCTCGGCACAGTTGTCTTTGGTGTCCTGATGCCCATCCCCATCACTGGGAGCAAGAACAGGGTCAGAGGAGACCCGCAACCCAGGGTCCTGGCACCACGTCCCAGCACCCTTGCCAACCCTGAAGACCCCGTCATCCCCCCTTCCTGGGTCCCCGAGCCAGGAACCCAGCTCTGCCCCCAGGGACAGGACGGAACAGGATGGGATGGGGAGGTGACTCTGCAGCAGTGCAGTCCCCACCTGTCCTCGTTGGTGTCACAGATGTCTCCTACCAGGTCACTGTCCATATCTGTCTGGAGGAGACCAGAGCCCTAGTTCAGCGGACACTCCGGGGCGAGGGGGCCCAGCCATGCTGCAGGAGGATGCACCGCTCCCCAGCTGGGCAGGGCCCCGCATGCCCCAAGCCCCCTGCCCCGGCCTGGCCCCAGCCCATACCTGAGTGGGGTTGCTCATTTCAGGGCAACTGTCACAGGCGTCCCCAACACCATCCTCATCCCGGTCTGTCTGCAGGGGGTTAGGCACCTTGGGGCAGTTATCCAGCATGTTGGGAATCCCTGCAAGGACAGCCCTGGGTGGATGCCCTCATCCCCCCAGCCTGGCATGACAGCATCCCTGCTCTGTGAGCAGCCCCAGCCCCGCACAGGCAGACCAGCCCCAAGAGCCACTCACCATCCCCATCGATGTCATTATCGCAAGCGTCCCCTTCGCCGTTGCTGTCCGTGTCCCACTGGTCGTTATTGGGCACGTTGGGGCAGTTGTCACAGGCGTCCCCAAAGGAGTCGGTGTCCGAGTTCTGCTGGTCCTTGTTGGGGAAGAGCCGGCAGTTGTCCTGTGGGGAAGAGGATGGGGATGACCGCGCTGCAGTGTCTGGCAGACAAGAGGCCACAGTCCCGCACAGGTCAGGGCAGGAGGACATCTCCTCTAGCATGCTGAGTGAGCGCATCCCAGAGCCACAAGCCTGCCGATCCCCAGCAGAAGTATCTTGAGGGAGTCAGCACCAAGCCAAAGGGAGAAGCCCTCTGCCCAGCACATCCACCTCCACGTTCTTGATGCCATCACCGTCGGCATCATCGTCGCACTGGTCCCCGATGCCATCATTGTCGGCGTCCTCCTGCCCCGAATTCGGTGTCAGGCGGCAGTTGTCCTGCAGGCACAGACAGCATTAAAGATGGGGAGGAGATGAGGTCTGAAGCACAGCCCTGCCACAGGCTCCCTGAGCCTTGGCACCCCCTGCCCAAGGACGCTGACCTCCCTCTCTGGGAGCCCACCTGCTTGCAGTGCTTGTTATTGTCGATGCATGGCAGGGGCTCGTCTGGGTAGCCATCGAGGTCCGTGTCTTGCCCGCACACATTGCCATTGCCAGCCCAGCCCACGTTGCACTGCAGAAAGAAGAAATCAGGGGCTGGGAAGCGGGGAAAGGCCCTGGCAGGACCAACTGCTGCCCGTGCCGATACCCTCTGTACACCCCCGCTTCACCCTCTTCCCTGCCCCTGTCCCCCACTCACCGCACAGGAAATTTCACCATTCCTCTCAAACATGCAGAAGCCATTAATGTCACAAGGACTGGAGGTGGGAGTGCTGCAGGACTTCTGCGGGACACAGCCAGACGTTTGATTCCCAACAAACCCTGACTTGCAGGGACCACACTTGTAGGAGCCCTGGGAAAGAGAGGGCAGTGGCAGGATTAGGGCAGCAGAGCGGCCCCGGATGCCAGGCAGGAGAGCGGGGCAGCTCTGCTCACCAGCGTGTTGGTGCAGATGGAGTTGGGGTCACAGCCTCCGTTGTTGCCATCGTTGCATTCATCAATATCCATGCAAACCTGTGAGCCACGTGGGAGAAACCGTCACCCGGGGCCTTTCCCTGCCTGCAGTTCTGCCCGTTCCTGTCCCAGGAAAGCTGCCCTCCTCTGGCAGGCACAGCATCCTCCACCCATCCCTGCAGCTCAGCAGCCTGGAGCACTCACGGGGATCCAGCCGAGTCCCACGCCATCACACTCACCTGCTTGCTGGCCCTCACGTAGTCCACCCCCACGCCGGAGACGGTGTTGCCCCGATAGCCGCGGGGACAGGGCTCGCAGCGGAAGCCGGGGGCCGTGTTGATGCACTTGGAGCCAGGGAAGCAGGGGTTGGCATAAGCACACTGCAGCATGAGGAGAGAGACAGGCTTCAACCTCAGGCATGGCATCCTGCACCTTGGAGTGACCACTGCCCCAGGGCATCCCGGCGGGGCCCTTCCCCAGCTTCAGGATGCATCCAGAGAGGGGAAGTATCGTCTGCCCGCACTGCTCTGGCAGCGCTGGGGCTGCTGACCCACCCCAGGAGCGTGCCCACCTCATCGATGTCAGCACAGTACGTGCCGTTGCCCTCCAGCCCCGGTGGGCAGGGCCCGCAGCGGTACCCAGGGTACTCGTACGTCTCCATGCAGTCCACACCGCTGAAGCAGGGGTTGGGGTTGCAGCGGGACCGGTGCTCATGGAAGCCTGAGGAGGGCCAGGCAGGTGGTGAGATGGAGCAGCCCTTTGCCCCCTGAGGTGGGAGCAGAGCCTCGCCAGCACTCACCGCAGACCTGGCACTCCATGATGGTGTTGCGGATCAGAGACATCTCCTTCACCTGCGAGGCAGCAAAGCACTGAGCATCAGGGGGATGCAGCGTACTGGCTGGCACCGTGCTCTTGGGAAATCCAGCCTAGGGAGGGCTGGTACCGCTGCACTGTCTCACCTGGTCCCTAATGTCTTCCCGCAGCTCAGTCAGAAGCCGGTTGAAGAGGGTCAGCTGCGTGACCAGCGCCTTGGTCTGCTCGCCTGCCAAGAGCAGAAAGGACAAGGTCAGCCCCAGGACAGATGCAGCCTCCCGGGCCATTGGCTGGGACTGCTCTGCCCCCCGGCACAGAACCAGGAAGACAAGACAGCCAACGGCCCGTCCTCCTCCTCCCTGGTCCACACAGGACCCCCTCCCCTGTAGCGCATCCTGTGCCCTCCGACCCACCCCATCCTGGGGCCCTGCAGGCACCTGGGGCACTGGGACAGACTGCAGAGGGTTTTCTGCCTCCGTGGAGCCCCAAATGCTGCCATCACCCTTGCGCCAGGGAAAGGAGGAAGCAGAGCAGGGACTTACCAAGGATGGAGGCCAGCACGCTTGTGACTGCAAGGAGAGAGACGAGATATTACTGAATGCTGCCATCAAAGCCCAGCACTATCACCTTGCACGGTTGCTCCTGGTCAGCACAGGAGCTCCCACCTGCGTGGGGACACCTGGACCGGGAGAGGCAGGAACACCGCTCTGTGTGGCATGCTCTCACCTCCCACCTCCATGGGCCACAGCACACAACACGCATGGGTGACCCCGCCAGCCCTCCACACTGCCATGCTTGGTGCAGGGCATGGACATGCTGTTACCTGCGCTGTGAATGGACTCATCTCCTTGGAAAGGGCACTCGCTCAGGGCCCCGACGCGGCTCATGGACCCTCCCAGGATCAGCTTCATCGACTCCACGAACCCCTGACATACAAGGGGAGACGCAGTCAGCCGTGGGGGGGGCTCTGCCTGTCCCCAAGGGCGCAGGGGGTGTCTCGGCTCCCTGGGGGGGTCCCGGCACTCACCTGCATCCTCTGGTAGGCCTTCTGCCCTGTGCGCACCTCGATGGACTCCACCTCTGCCAGGGGGATCTCCGACAGCTCAGGCAGCCCCACGCTGGAGTCCATCTGCTTGCAGTCGACGTAAAGCTCCACACTCAGCATGTCCCCGCGCAGCCCGCTCAGGCGCACGATGATGGTGTGGCTCTGTCCGTCCGCCACGTGCGCGTGCTGCAGGTTGACCGAGTGGAGCTTGTTGTCTTCCCGCAGGTAGCGCACCAGGACTGCGGAGGAGCGGGAAGGGGCCATCAGCTCTCCCCCCCACAGCACCAGCACCTCCTAGGACCAGCGCGCACCCCGTTGCTCTCCCCAGCGGGCCCCTCAGATGGCAGGAACTCGGTCCCCATTTGTCTTTGAGCATCAGGGCAAGACAAGGGCCAGCACATCCCCGCGCAGCAGGCACCCACCTTTGTTGATTTTCCCCACCACAGAGACCTCCAGCCACCTCGTGTTGTCCTTCTTGGAGTAGAGGCCGAAGAGGGTCCCCCCCTGCTTGGGGGGCAGGCGGAAGGTGGAGAGGAGGTAAACATCGTTAACTGTCAGGAGCTCCATCCGGATCTTGTGCGTTATGCTGGCCATCTGCCGGGCCTCGCTCACCATCAGCAGGTCGATGACTGTGGGAGCCAGGCACAGGGGTCGCATCCTGACCAGCAGCCGCAGCTCCGGCCGCAGGAGCGCAGAGATGCCCGGTGCGGGGCACTGTGGCCCTGCTCGCTGCGAGCCCGGCCAGACCGAGGGGATGGAGCCAGGGCGGCGGGGGG